ATGGAAGTGCGAGCGTTCAGCGTGGTGGTAATACCCGCCTTGCTAATACTGATGGTTTGTTGTTCCATCACTTCATGAATGGCCGTTCGGTCGGTATCTTCCATTTTATCGAATTCATCAATACAGCAGATTCCATTATCTGCCAGGACCAGTGCGCCACCCTCTATATACAAGGTAGATAGCGATACGATAATAAGTGTCTTAAAATTTTTGACTGCGACAAAGAATTCAATCTTACCGAGTACCATCTCGTCTGTTACTGGGTCTCGTTCTACCGATGCTGTCAGCCCAACACCGGAACTTCCACGACCAGTAGTGTAAACTCCTCGCGGTGCCACTTTGCATATATATTTAAGTAGTTGTGACTTGGCCACACCAGGATCTCCCATGAGACATATGTTTAAATCACCACGAATTTTCATCCCATCTCCCATTGTTTTGGATACACCACCAATGAGCTGCAGTAACAATGCTCTTTTTACATCTTCGTGACCATATATTTCCGGTGCAATACTTTTTGCCAACAGAGTGTAGGCATTAGCATCCTTTGAAAGACGCTGAATTTTTGTCTGAATCAACGGATCCTTTTCCATCTTATCATATTGTTTCTTAAGTTGAAGGATGTATTGACCTTCGAGATAAACATCAGTCAACAGAGTATTAGAACCTCGATAACTTTGATGCGGAGTAGCTTGATAAATTCCCGATAGGTTAACAACATCCCCAGGATTTACTGTTCGCGTCAAGGGACCAAATAGATAAACAGACATCGATCGGGGAATATGACCTACAGGCACTTGTTCAGTCTAGATCAGAATTAATTAGAGATAATGTGTTTAGTATTAAGGTAATCGATTCGATTCGATTGAATATTCTAAATAATTTCATCTACCATTTCCTGCATTTTGACTTCTTGAAAAGGTAAAAATTTACAGGATCGAGTTTGCATATATAGCTTTCCTTTGACATTATTTGTCCTACAATTTTCTGACGGGCACTCGATGAGCGGTTGATAAGTTTTCTTGGTAACTTCTTGGAAAACTTCTTCACCGCACATTTCGCAGGAAAATCCGGCGACCATTAAAAATGGCTTCACGTCATGCACACGGGTGATTATTCCTTGCACAGTAACCAATTGACCTACATAAAAACCTCCCACCTCGCGGATCGAGAGTGATCGGTCCATTGTCAAAGGCTTAAAATAGAGGGTGCTATAATTGAAATATGAAATTACAGAATTATGTTTACAACCAAATATTTGACACAAGCATCAAGCTTCTCCAGTAACATCTTACTATCGTCTAGTCAAGGCAGGCGGAAAATGTGTCCTATCTTCCTCGGATCTTTGTGCATCCCTATCTTTTCGATGTTGCATTATTACGTCAATAACATCATCCTCGATCCCGATATCCCTTTGAGATTTAGGCATTAGACCATTGTCTTTATCATCGATAACTTGATAGAATAAGTCAAGGTATCGCCGAGTGTTTGTCTGAATTCTATTAAGTAATCCATTCTCGGCCCTGTCAATCCACTGAAGTTATATGGCAAAAATATTTTTTTTTCTCCTTTTATCCAGATGAAATGAAAACATATAAATGTAAAAAAATTTAAAAGGGCTACTTATTACATTAGCAATATCATCTAATTCGATAATAAGACTATCTTGTTCGCGATTTGCTATCGATTGCTGTGATTAATAATAGGTCAAAATATATTATAAGTAGCAGGAAAATGTTCGCGTGCAAGATGAGCACCTAAATCCACCTACAAGTTGTCTCATGTATTTATAATTTTTAGGATTATCATCTTCAACGTCGATATCCATTTCGCCACCTTGCGTCCCTGCATTTTTATCCTCGAACTTTAGCAAAAATAATTTGATTTCTCCTAGAAGAGAAGACAAAAGAAATCGTGAATCGCGCGTTTTTCGACGCGTAACTGTGAATAGCATTTGATTGCTGACGCGTGTCTTACCTTTATCTTTTGCATAGCTAACATTCACCTTAAGGGTTTGAAACGCTTGTGCCATGGTTTGCCAGGTTTCTAGGGGCGATACGTGAAGATTTTTTTTTTTTTTTTTCGACGCGAATTTAAAGATCTGCTTGGTTTCACGGTTTTTTTTGTGATACGTGATTTAAAAATAATGGTTTTTTTTTTAACGGGTATTTTCACGTGACTAACTCGTCATAGGTACAGATTTGGATTACCTCTATAATTTGTAAAATATGTTCCAACTATAAGAATTACTGTACAACAAATTACGGGACATTTTTTTTTTTTTTAGTTAAACCTCAACTAGGTATTAGATGTGAGACTATTTATTAACATTAAGTTATTAGCCATTATATCAATCATCTCATACATATTATATATTTCTATATATATGAAATTAATAATAACCTATAGTGGCTAATCTAGCTAAACCAGCTTGCATTTTAAGAATAAGTAGACTTAGTTAGGAATTGAATGTTAAATACTTAGTTATTATGACAAGTTCCAATTAGATAGTATTGAGCTTTTACAAATTCTTGTTGTTTTATTAAGTTAATTTAATTATATATATACTAGTCGAAATTATATTATTCAGCAGTTAAATTATTATCAAATTTGATTAAATTTGATAATAAAAATATTGTCAAATTCTTTTTGATTGCTGTCATTCAGCAGCATATTACTATTTTGACAATAAAGTGGCAATTAAAAATTCAGCTATCAAATATTTAGCAATCAAAAATTTGACAATCAAAAAATTTGTCAATAAAAAATTTATTAATTAGATTGTTATCTTTCTCTTCTAATGGTTGAAATTAACAATTCATCAAATAATTTATTAACTATTCAATAAAAATTCATTAAAAATTCATTACAAAATTATTTATTAGTAATTCAATAAAAATTCAGCTTTAATTTATTAATAATTCATCAAAAATTCATCAACTAATTATTAAAAATTCAATAACTATTCATTAAAACTATTCAATAAATATTTGTCAAATATTCATTAAAAATTTAATATCTACAGCATTTATCAAAACTATTCATTAAAAGTTCATTAACTATTTATTAAAAATTTGGTAACTATTTATTTATTATTTAATAAAAATATATAAAACTTGTAAAAAAATTTATTTATATTTATAAATTATTTGGTTTACATAATAATATATAATAAATTAAGAAAAAAAACTCTTTTCACAAATCTTTCAAATTCTTAGAAATTTTCTTTTTAGATAATATATCTAAAGAAAGAGACAACACATATAACTTAAGACACATACTCTCTCATAACATCAATACACAATAGACATCTTAGTATAAAAAACAACACTTCGTGCATAGCTCTAATCTAGTGACCACTGAGAAAAACATAATATAAAGTATAACCTTAATTCTCTTCTCTTTGCTAAAGAAAAGGAAACAGGTCAATATAAACTGATTCACAGTTAAAAAAGGAGAGCCAATATTAATTTCATAGAGCTTGTAGCCAGGTCAGTATAGATTGACACCTTTCTTGATACTACAAAAAATTCTAAAACAAATAGGTTTACTTGATAAATCAAGCTAACCTCAAATTCTTCAAAATCCAGAAAAATATAAAAGCTCACCAAAGTCTAAATAACCTAACATATAGTACATACCTCATCTTTACATATATCAAAACTCATCATCAAAGTAGCATGAACATATACATGTGTATAAAGTTGTTGTCAAAATAAGTTTGACAAAAGTTAGTTACGACAGTATAATAAAAGTGACTTAAATTGATAAGATTATCAAACATAACTATCACAATAGAAAGTAATTAATATAAATAGAGTGTCAGAGATCTATAAAAACATAACAAAGTTAATGTAAACAGGTAAATAACCTAAGTAAAAGGGAGAAATGATACATGTCTAATTAAAATAAGATTAAAACACATACAAAAACAAGAAAATAATCAAAAAACAATAAGCATTACATATAAAAGCTTGTCAACAATTACTAAAATAGCACTAAGAACATATATTAATCTGCTTATGTGACTATTCATAATACAATATAACAATACAACAATAATATCAATTCACACATATATTTTATCATAAATAAAACAAAGCAGATACTTTAGATAGTAAACAATAGAGAAGATAATATTATTAATATGCTAGTCCAATTAACAAAAAAGTATAATAAATCGGGCAAACTATGGGCTATGTAACAAATTGATAAACAAAAAGATATAATTAATTATAATGATATAATAGTAAATGCTCTAGAAACATATACCATACTGAACAACATTATCACCAAAATTCTAGGAATAGATAATACAACATTCCACAAGAAACAAATCCTTATATAACATATTACCTTTCTTTGGTATAAAGGAAAGAGAAAGGAAAAGGATTTGCTTCAACTCTACATAAAAGATAGATACCTGGATATAATCAAAGAAAAATTAACAAAAATACTATTTATTCTAGTAAAGATTACTACTAATATAGAAAGTAGATTAATATTAGATAATGAAATAACAATAGTGGAAGGTCAAAAACAGGAGGAAATAAAAGTAAAAACTCTTAAAGATAAAATTTAAGGCCATAATATAAATGAGTACAGTTCTTACATAACAAGAAACAGATGAGCAACTCCAATACTAAACCCTTATTTTATAAACAAAAAGAGCAAATATAAAGTAGGGGTAATGACAGTCAATATTTCAGGAAATAATAAAGAAGAGATCAAGGCATATTTGGATAGCATATTGAAATTATCACGAAACAAGTATAACCTTTTTCACAAAGAATTTATCAATAGAAATGAATGGTTAAGTTTCTATCTAAAGGAAAAAAAAGATTTTCTCAAATGTTTAGAAGATATAAACAGAAAGAAAGAAGCTCTTAGTCTATAACAACTCGAAAATATGAGTATCAACCTAACACAAAATATAGAGATATTAGACAAGAAGATTTTTTAATCAAGAAAAGAAGAAAAGAAAGAGAATATATAGCATATTAGCCTAATAATTATAGTACATAAAACTTTACAACACTTTATAAAAGAATATCTCAAGAGATATAGTGAGGTACAAAATATACTGTATATATCTATAAGATCAAAATAAAAACAAGAATTAAGGCTTATATCAAGTGGCATAGTTATCTTAAGACAAATTCAGAAATATTATGGATGACCTCCTTAGAAACAGAAACCACTAGAGCCATCTTCTTTAAGAAAGAACTAACAAACAGAAAGATCAATAATATTCTAATAGAAAGAAACAAAAACTCTGCAAGACTATTAAAAACAAACAAGTTCTACTCAAGTTTGATAGCTAGGATGCTCAATGGTATAGAAGCAAAAGTATATTATACCCCAAGAAACCCTTTACACTATAGAAACAAAACTTTATAGTCATATACTTTATATTAAGAAAGGTCCTCAATAAAGCCTATAAATGACATATTTTTTACAAGGGCTATACCTCTTATGGAGTGTTAAAAATATAGTAACAAAGATGAAAAGACCTATGATACTGAAAGAAAAAAAGACAAAGCACAAGATAGAAAAGTTGAAATAGACAATAAGGTACCTATAAACTCATTATTTGATAACAAATCGATTAGTTCCTCCTCTTTTATAGTAATAATTATCAACCTCCAAAAAGGCAATACCTAAGAGACTCATCTTCAAGAGATCAAAGAAGATCCTATAAAACTCAAGTTGATAGAGAGAGACAAAGAAATAATGAAAAACTTAAGAACCTAGCTACAGAAAGTAATAGAGAACCTATTGACAATCCAAGGCCTAGCTAGTACAGTAGTTTTAACAAGTACATATCAAATACAAAAATAGAAAATAAAGAAAATCTATTATACCATATCTTAAACAACTTAAAAAAGTTAAGTAGCAGAATAGCCAAACTAAAAGGTAGAACAATTCTAATAGACAAATAAGATATAGTAGAAGAAAGGGAAATCATTTCTAAAAAGGTACACCAGTTGTCCAAAATAATAAGAGAAAAAATGAGCTCAGTTTATCCCCAGTAGAAATTTCAAAGAAGGACAAACATCAATAAAAAGAGCATAACAGTATACAATTAGATAATTTAGATCTA